CTTCCTTCCTTCCTTCCTTCCTTCTTTCTCTCTTTCTTTCTTAGATGGAGTCTTACTCCATCGCTCAGGGGCTGGAGTGCAATGGTGCGATCTTGGCTCACTGCAACCTCTGCCTCCTGGGTTCAGGTGATTCTTTTGCCTCAGTCCCCTGAATAGCTGGGATTACGGGCATGCACCATCACATGCGGCAAATTTTTGTATTTTTAGTAGAGGTGGGGTTTTACCATGTTGGCCAGGCTGATCTTGAACTCCTGACCTCAACTTATCCACCGACCTTGGCCTCCCAAAGTGCTGGGGATACCCATGTGAACCACCATGTCCAGCCTGGAAAGTAGTTTCTATAGTACAAAGCGGGGAGTGCTGCTCCCCTGCCCCACACACCTCAGCACCTCCGTGTTGCTTCCTGTGGAGTAGACACTATTGTTTTGTCTGTCCAGTCTCCTCTTTTCTTGTGAGAATACGCTTCTGGAATATTCGTCTGGAAAACACTCTCCTTTTGATAACTGTCTTTGCCTCCCTGGGACTGCAGCTGACGTGCGTGCATGCGTGCATGTGTGCGTGTGTGTGTGTGTGTGCGCGTGTGTGTGTGCGTGTGTGCGTGTGTGTGCATGTGCGTGTGCATGGGTGTGCACGCGCGCACGTGTGTGTTGGGATTGGCTTCCAGATCTTCCTACTGGGGGAATGCCCATTATCCATTAGATGCTGCTCAATGGGAAGCGGTGCCCCACCCCACCATGGAGACCTAAGGGGCTTAACAGACCCTGCATAGCCGTAGATGGATATAATCTGTGCTTGGTGAATTGGTGCTTTGACTGCTCTCAGGGTAGCTGAGGGCTTATTCCCAGAATGGTGAAGGTGGCAGAGTCCTGGTAGCTGGTGTTATTGGCTACCATCACCCATTTTATCCAGGGTCACAGCTGAAATCTGTGCCGCTCGGCTCTGCTGGGCAGGTGGGATAAAGCTGCCCCAGGCTCCGTGCTGTCCCCATCTCTGCTCCTGCTGCCTGGCAGCCTGGAATCCTTCTCCAGACTTCCTGTAACTCTCTCCCCAAGCCAATGTCCTCCCTCGCGTGAACAAGGGCCCCTCCTCGTGACCATGGTGCCTGGCTTGCCTTGGCCCCAGCCCTCCTCCCTGTGCCGAAATCATCTTTCTGTGGATCTTTCTCCCTCATGGGCTCCAACCTCCCTGTGGGCAGGGACCAGCCCTTGGCCACATTCCAGCTCCCTAGTGCCAGTGTATGTTTGGTGAATTTGGGGGCATGGGTTGGATGATCTCAGTTCAGTTCCCAAATCTTTCTTTCCCATCCCATCAGTCTTCCAGGATCTCAGCCAGTTCTCTCACTGCAGAGACTGGAGAAGCCCAGCCCGCAGTGTGAAGGGAGAGCCACCGTGGTGCTCACAGCAAGACACCCAGAGTCCCTTCCAGGCAGGGACACCCCTGGAGCGACCCTGTTTCAGCACGAAGTTATTTGGGTGAGAACTCACCAAGCATGCACAGCGGGTGCTTCAGCATATCCTTTCATTGAACTCCACACGGCCCTGCTGAGCAGGTGGGCCCACCATTCTCAGACCCCCAGGGCCCCATAGACAGCAGATCTGCCGCTTTCTTTTTTTTTTTTTTTTTGAGATGGAGTCTCGCTCTGTTGCCCAGGCTGGAGTGCAGTGGCCGGATCTCAGCTCACTGCAAGCTCCACCTCCCAGGTTCATGCCATTCTCCTGCCTCAGCCTCCCGAGTAGGTGGGACTACAGGCGCCCGCCACCTCGCCTGGCTAGTTTTTTGTATTTTTTAGTAGAGACGGGGTTTCACCGTGTTAGCCAGGATGGTCTTGATCTTGTGACCTCGTGATCCGCCGGTCTCGGCTTCCCAAAGTGCTGGGATTACAGGCTTGAGCCACCGTGCCCGGCCTTTAGATCTGCCGCTTTCAACCATACCCACTGCCTCTCATGCTGGAGTAGGGGAAATGGAACCCACAAAGCCTGCAGGCCAGGGAGGGTGGGAAACTGGGGTGATGTGAGCACACGGGGTGTGCACACGGGGTGGAGCACACGGGGTGGAGCACTGTGGACTGAATGCCTGTGTCCCCTGGGTTCATATGTTGAACTCCTAACTCCCAATGTGATGGTGTCAGGAGGTGGAGCCTTTGGGAGGTGGTTAGGCCATGAGGGTGGAGACCCATGCTGGGGTCAGTGCCCTTATGCCTCTCCCATGTGAGGATGCAGAGGGCAGCTGTCTACAAGCCGGGAAGAGAGGCCTCACCAGACACCAAACCTGCCGGCACCTTGCTGTGAGATGTCCAGCCCCCAGACCTGTGAGAAATAAATTTCTATTGTTTAAGGCACTCAATGTTTTGTTATAGTAGCATGAGCTGACTGAGCAGATATTCATATGGAAAGTGAATTTTGATCTCTACTTCATGCCGTACGTAAAAGCCAATTCCAGATTGACTGTAGATACAGATTGGCAAAGCAAAACAGTACAGTTTCTAGAAAGAAACAGGAAAATGTCTTCATGAGGTGGTCAAATATTTCCTAGAGAGGACACAATAAGCACCAACTACAAAATAAACAATGATAAATTGGACTGCATTAAAATGAAGAACATCTGTTCAACAGAGGACCCCATGAAGAGCGTGAGAAGCCAAAGCACAGAGTGGGAAGAGAAATCTGAGCTGAGATGGGAAATCAGAATATGAAGAACTCCTTCAAGTCAGCAAGAAGACAGGCAAGCCGAGAGGAAGACGGACAGACGACCTCAACAGACACTTTACAAAAGAGATATCCAGGCAGGTGTGGCAGCTCATGCCTGTAATCCCAGCACTTTGGGAGGCCGAGGCTGGTGGATCACCTGAGATCAGGAGTCCAAGATCAGCCTGGCCAACATGTCGAAATGCCATCTCTACTAAAAATACAAAAATTTTCTGGGCTTGGTGGCGTGTGCTTGTAATCCCAGCCACATGGGAAGCTGAGGTGGGAGAATTGCTTGAACCCCGGAGGCAGAGGTTACAGTGAGCTGAGATCATGACACTGCATTCCAGCCTGGGGGACAGAGTGAGACTCTGTATAAAGAAAAAGAAAAAAAGATATCCAAATGGCCAATACACATAAGAGAATATTTTATTAATCATTGGGGAAATACAAATTAAATTAAAGCCAAAGGGAGCTAACACTCCATACCCCTAGGAATGGCTCAGGAAGGATTTGAAACAACTGCAACTTTCATATGCTGCTGGTGGGAGGTAGGAGGCAGGCCTCCACTCCAGACGAGGGGCTCAGATGCCACACCAAATTGAGGACTAACTAGAACAGAGATGGCTGGAAGCAGCTTTCCGTAAGACATACCCACCAGTGTGCCACATCAGTTTACCATTGCCATGGCGACACCCAGACATTAATGCCCCTTTCCACAGCAATGACCTGATGACCCAGAAGCTACCACCCTTTTCCTAGAAATTTCTGAATAATCCACCTCTTAATTTGCATGTAATTAAAAGCGGCAGTAAATCTGACTGCACACTGCCTCTGAGCTGCTGCTCTGGGCACACTGCCTATGGGGTAGCCCTGCCCCACAAGGAGCAGCCCTTCTGCTGCTGCTGTGCACGGCTGCTTCAGTAAAAACCGCTAACTCCATTGGCTCACCCTTACATTCTTTCATGGGTGAAGCCACGAACCCTCCTGGGCTAAGCCCCAATTTTGGGGCTGGCCTGCCCTGCATCAGTGGGAGTTTCTGGCAGTATGAGCTAAGCTGGATACAAGCATCCTCTCTGATGTGACTTCTAGGCAGCATATAATCAATTAAAATGCATCCATAAGTTACCAAAAGACATGTACAAGAATGTTCCTAGCAGCCTATTCATAACAGCCAGAACTGGGAGTACTCTGGATGTTACCAGCAGGAGAATGGGTAAGTTGACTGTGGTATATTCATGTAATGGAATACTCCACAATGAGAACAAGTGAACCACACCTGCATGCAAGAATGTGGATGACTTGATTTGAGTTCAAAAATAGGCACCATTAGTTGGTCATACTAGAAATCAGGCTGTGCTGGCCAGGTGTGGTGGCTCACAACTGTAATCCCAGCACTTTGGGAGGTTGAGGCAGGTGGATCACTTGAGTCTAAGAGTTTGAGATCAGTCTGGGCAACGTGGGGAAACCCTGTGTCTACAAAAATACAAAAATTAGCTGGGCGTAGTGGCACACACCTGTAGTCCCAGGGAGGGAGGCTGAGGTAGGAGGATTGCTTGAGCGTGGGAGGTGGAGGTTGCAGTGAGAGAAGATTGTGCCACTGCACTCCAGCCTGGGTGACAGAGTGAGAACCTGTCAGAAAAGAAAGAAAGAGAAGAAAGAAAGAAAAGAAAGAAAAGAAGAAAGGAAGGAAGGAAGGAAGGAAGGAAGGAAGGAAGGAAGGAAGAAAGAAGAGAAGAGAAGAGAAAGGAAAGAGAGGGAAGGAAGGAAGGAAAGAAGGAGGGAGGGAGGGAGGGAGGGACGGAAGGAGGAGGAAGGAGAGGGGAGGGAGGGAGGAAAGGGAAAAGATAAGAAAGGAAAAGAAAAGACATAAGGCTGTGTTGGCCGGGCGCTGTGGCTCACATCTGTAATCCCAGCACTTTGGGAGGCTGAGGTGGGCGGATTGCTTGAGCCCAGAAGTTTGAGATCAGCTTGGGCAACATAGTGGAGCCTCGTCTCTACAAAAAACAAAAAATTAGCCAGGTGTGGTGGCAGGTGCCTGTAGTCCCAGCTTACTCGAGAGGCTGAGGTGGAAGGATCGCTTGAACCTGAAAGGTGGAGGTTGCAGGGAGCTGAGATCGTGCCACTGCAGTCCAGCCTGGGGGACAGAGTGAGACCCTGTCTCAAAAAAAAAAAAAAAAAAAAAAAAAAAAGAAAAAGAGAAGGCTGTGTTTGCCCTTGGAAGGTCACAAGAGAGGGAGGCTTCTAGGGGTTCCAGCAATGTTTTATTTTTTGATCCAAGTGCTGGTTCTCAAGCATGCTCACTGTGAAAATTTACTGGGTGGAACTAAATTTGTATTTTTCAAACAAAGATGTTACACCTTGCAGTTTGTACTCTGCTAAATGCTTTTAAATTTTACACACAAATAAAACTCCAAGGGATCACATGAGTGACAGAATTGAAACACTCACACCGTTTTTTGGGTTTGGAAACCACCCCCGCTCCATCCCACACTGGGGCTTGTGGATCCAGCTCTGTGCCCGGCCCCCCTCTTGCACACATCCTGAAAGCAGGTGGGCAGGGAACCAGTCCCCATGCCATGGGTGCCCTGGGCCCTGTGTGGTGAGAGGAGGCCCAGAGCAGGGCCTTCTAAAATCCGAGGCCTCGACAGCAGGGTCCCTGCCTGCCTAGGTCTAGGGGCAGGACTGAAGGTCATCGAGGATGGGTGGCCTGGGATTGCTGGCACCAATTCCTGTTACCTCGAGCGGGGTAAAAGAAGGGATTAGGATGAGGGGGCAATGTCTCCCTTAAGGAATTCTGTGACTCGGTCGTTGTAGGGAGGAGACTGTACATTTCAATGCAGGCAAGTCAGGCCCTGGGCATATCCCGGCTCCTGTCTTGGAAGCCGGTGAACACCCTTAGCCAGTGTGGCCGAAGACAGCATTCCGGGCCAGTGCAGGCCTCCTGCACAGGTATAGCACAGCCCTTTGCCTCTCACTATATGGGCTCTGCCAGGACATAGTACCTTGACCTTCAAGTTCTTTTTTTTTTTTAAATTGAGACAGAGTTTTTCTCTGTCACTCAGGCTGGAGTGCAGTGGCATGATCTCAGCTCACTGAAACCTCCACCTCCTGGGCTCAAGGGATCCTCCTGCCTCAGTCTACTGAGTAGCTGGGATTACAGGCACCTGCCGCCATGTCTGGCTAGTTTTAAAAAATACCTTGTAGAGACAGAGTTGCCCAGGCTGGTCTGAAACTCCTGGGCTCAGGCAGTCCTCTCACCTCTGCCTCCCAAAGTGCTGGGATTACAGTTGTGAGCCGCCACACAGCCCCCCAGGTTCTTATCACTCACCACAGAATGTTCTCAGCTTGTTTTTCTGTGTGGCCAACCTGGAGGCCCAGGGCTGGGTTCCCACACGGCCTCCTTGCCACAGGGTCCAGGAAGGCTGTTTCCAAAGCCTCTCGGCGGGAAGACACACTTCCGGTGGGAGTCAGGTGGAAAGAGAAGCCCTCACTGCTGGGCAGCAGGCTGGAGTCCGTGCGCTCGGATAGTTGTCCCGCAGAGAGGGACTTCACAAGCCCGAGAAAGAACAGTTCCACTGGGGACAGAGGAGGAGTGAACAGGACAGAGACACAGACAGGCAGGACTTTTCTGAACAGTCGTTTGAACCAGAGAACAATTTTTCAATGGACAACAAATGTTGCATATAATTGAAATCTTGGTTACATTCCCTGAAAATTGCTTTCTGTGCAACCTGAGATAAGAGACTCTCCTGGAGCTGCGGTTTCCTCATCTGTTACGCAGGGGTGATAAGGCCTTGCTGTCTCTATCCGGGATGACTGGGAAATTCCTCTGGAAAACAGCTACAAATGCAAAGGTGAAGTATTTGATGATATGTATATGAGCACTTCCCAGTGGGTTTTGTGGTCTGTGGGCGTCTCCATAGATTGATAGGTCTTAATACTTTAAAAAAGATTCCTTGGTTAATTAATTTGATGAAACACTGGGTTAAACACAGTTAGCAGATTTCCTTATTGCAGGACTTCTCAAGGCCTTTAGTATGTTAATATGCATTGGAAATCGCCAGGAGAGGAGTATTATATGTGGCATATCTCAGACATATTTACCTAGAGAAGGGGTTGTAGTGTGTGTGTGTGTGTGTGTGTGTGTGTGAGAGAGAGAGAGAGACAGAGAAAGAGAGAAAGAGAAGAAGGAAGGAAGGAAAGAAGGAAGGAAGGAAAAGGAAAGGGAAGGAAGGAAAGAAGGAAGGAAGGAAAAGGAAAGGGAAGGAAGGAAGGAAAGAAGGAAGAAAGGAAGGAAGGAAGGAATTTCATGGGGTTAGTTCAGGGAAATTCAGTGGTGAATTTCAACAGCAAGTGAAGAATGCTGTTCTACATAGATGCAGGTATTTTTTCCACCATGCCGGTTTCACAGTGCAAACTGAATCTAACAGGTTGGATTAATTTGGGGATATGCATTTCTCCACTCAGACAGTCACTGCATAGATTGCCAGGGCGATGGAAACTAATTCAGAAAAGCGGGGGAAGTCTGTGCTTTGCAAA